TAAACTGATTAAATATAGATTACTGATTGTGAAATGTTTTTCGAATGAAGCCAATTTCAAATGTCAGATTTGATGGTTGTACCTTTTCTCTGAGTTCTGGAAGAATATTAGATTGTTCTGTTTGCACATACTTTAGATCAACCTTTCTTTAGATTTAAGTCTGTTCGTGTGCTCTTAGGTCCTTTAGATTAAGTCTTAACGAATAGAGTAACTTGCTGCTCTTAATTCCAGCAAAAACAAGGTATGGTTCTTGTGCTCTGTACATATACAACAAGAAAGCTACTTTATTTTTAAATTATGTCCAATACTAGATGGAATTTGATGTTAGTTTTAGAAAAATATGAAGCCCACATTAGACGTTCTACAGTTGATCTTTAGCCCAACCTTTAGAGTGACGATTTCAAAAGCATGACCAAAAGTAATTATTGATTACACTAATGGTGTAGTTGGCTGAATTAATTTGTTCTCAGTAGGTTTCATAAAGGATGCTGCCCCTCAATAAGATAACCTCTCCTTAAAATCAATAATTATTCTACAACTGATTGAAAAGAGTCTTCATATTACTCTGAAATGGAGTTGCTTCAACTCAAAAACACAAACTACAAAGAAAATTAATTTCATTGAAACTCGAAATAACCAGTCCAATTTCCATGGTAAATGGAAGGTCAGGGTAATACTTAAAGACTCGGTAATCTTCTGTTACACCCCATATTAAGATACACAACAATGTCTGCCCCTAAGGATGTCCAGTTCACTTTGGACAATGTGAACAATGTCCGGATGTTGGAGCCTCTGCAGTTCCTGGGCATATTGATTATCTGTCTCCTTCAACAGTGACATATAGAACGTCTCATTCTTTGAAACGTGCGACATATAAAACGTCCAATTTGATTCATCTCAAGTCTCCAAAAGGCAATGGGAATTATGTAAAGGGGCCAACAATGTATATGGTGACTGATGATTTAACAGTGACTCCACTGTGTGTGACCTCAAGCCTTTCTAATTTGGACCGGCTTGGAATCCCGTTGTCTGATGTCGAAGATTTGGAGCTTAACATTGGATTGGAAGAGGTAACTATGACAAGACATTATATCGCTTGTTCATTTGGATTATTTGATTTTTTTTTTTCATGATGAGAGTTTATTATTATTTTTTCCTTTCAATTACTTGATTTTGTTCTTATCTGTACTGTAGGCTCTAAGCATTTTGAAGGCATCTCTTACCTCGACTTCGGCCCTGACTAATGGCCTTTTTGGTCCATCACCGAAAAAGTGTGTGAAACAAGAGCACTGAGGCCAATGCCGAAGGTTCCTGCTTAGTGTTTCTTTTTTCCTGATAATGTTGTTCCTAATCAGTACTACAGTTCTGGTGATTTATGTTTTTTCCTCATAATTAAGTACGTTTGGTTTGGCTTAGTTTATAAAGTTGTAACAAATTTTCATTTTTGCTCCACTAAGATGGCTCTATTCAAAATTCAGTTTGAACTTCGTATTCTTTATATTGTTGATAATGAGTTCTTCAGTAATAGTGTAGTTCAACAGATTTAGTCCACCATGCAGTGCATCAATGATGATTGATGCCAAAATATTTATAGAGACATAAGTTTCTTCTCCAGCATAAACTACAACAAAACCAAATGCAAAATGGACCTTGCTTACCCATACAATTTAACGCATGCAAAAATCTTATCTCAACTATCATATGTCCACAAGAGTTTCAAATTTAAAAAATACATCGCAACAGGAAAACTTGTTGCGTCTGTTTTATAGATTTCAAGTTCCTCTTAAAGTTAAGTCATGACCTGTCAAATCTCAAATACATCTTGCAATTATCGTTACTATGTTTCCAATGCATTTGTGTTCTGAATCATAATCCTAGTCAAGTTGAACATATCATTATATTTACATCTGTTACATACCATATGCAATATAATCATTCTTTATATGAAATATCAATCAGAACATTGGATTATGGAAACATGATCATGGAAATGTGAGTAATGCACTTACATGTTCGTGAGCTGTGATATGACTTAGAGTTAATCGAGATAATGATAAAATTTTAATTTCATATATTCGCTGAGTTTCTTGAAAATTGTGACATGAAACGGCAATATGAAATTACAAAAAAGTAAGACTAGCCATGAAAACTATTATTCACATATATCTTCATCCCTCTTGCTTCGGTTTTTTGATTAAAAATGGAGTGATAAGGCCATTGGTTAAGGCGTGAGACAAAGTCAGAGAGCTTTCAGTATGCTCAGAGCCTACATCAAAAAGCAAAAATGAATTTATTACGAATAAGTTCGAGTGCTCGACAAGTCACTCGAATATACGTAAAATGGTGGAATTAGATGTGAGGATGAGTTTAGAGAGTAGAGTTTTGAATTTGGTGGAGTTGGATGAAATTCCAATTTGTGTAAAGATTTTTAATCAGACTTTTAACAGTTCAAATTTTGTATATTATTTTGTTTCTCATATGTTATCCATGGAACACTTTTTACAAACACTACGATTTTGATAAAGAATGTAGAAACATATCTTACATTAGCTCATTTGCACGATGATTGCTTAGTAAAAATCATGGTCCAACAAATGCATGTAATCATCCCCTCGACCTTTTTTGGTTGTTAGATGTCATATTTATTTTATTTACACTATTCTCAATACCACTCATTCTACAGTTAAAGAAAACGTGTCACTAGAAAGGGAATAAACAAGTATGAAAGTTATTTAAATCACACCTTGAACATAGAAATGGAAGGAAAAAAGAAGATATTTGATTGGAATGGAAAGAACGAATATATATTTACAAACACAAATTCTGTTGTAACATCTTCTGACACATATATTGAAAAGTATGATATTTCACAATATAAATATGCTATTAGAAAATTATGTTAGGTCGACTCACACGAGAATTTGTATTGAAACTTAAAAATGTACAATGGACTTGTGACTAATAGCAGTCTTTAATGACAGTTTCAGGTTGAAAACACAAAACATTGGGAGCTAAATACACTGAATCTCAAGGTTAGTTCAACTTTCCTTGGGAAATTGAAGGTCAGAGAAATACATAAAGACACATGAATCTTGTGGGACAGACTCTTGGCCAACCCTTTTTTAGCCTTATAAATAGCCTTCATGCATGAAATCTTCATGCTCACATTACCCTGAGACAAACACCCCAAATCAAGATACAACAATGTCTGCCCCTAAGGATGTCCAGTTTACTTTGAAAGTCATGATAAATAAAGATAAAACTAAGGTCCTCTTTGCAGAGGCCGAGAGCGATTTTTTCGACGTTTTGTTGAGTTTCCTGACATTGCCATTGGGAAAGATCGCGAAAATCCTCGTGGAACACTATGGAGATGACAAACCCAGAGTCTGTAGCTTGACCCCTTTGTACAATAGCCTTGCCAATCTTGATGTGCTCCATTTTCATTCGGAGACCAGTAAACAAATGCTGCTAAACCCGAAAAGCGTGTTTGATAAAGAATGCCGTAAGCTGAAGCTGAATCTAAGTGACTCTGAGCCCACCAAGTACTTTACATGCAGAGGGGCGTCTAGTGGGAAGCACAATTTCACCATGAACTATAATAATGTTAGATGTGATTGTGGGATTACAATGAGCACAGAAACAAAATTTTTTGCTGAATATGGCGATGATCGAGCTTTTTGCAGGAAAGGTGCTACCTTTATAATCGGTGATGATATGCGGGTGGCGCCTAATGTGTCAGGGTCGGTGTTGAGGACTCTAGCAGAAGTTGGTATTAGGGACATCAAAGGGGCCGAGATGAGGAACGTGACATTCGGATATAATGAGGTGAGTCTTGATTCTACTGTAATGAACTTTCTGAATTAATTATGTGTGTTTTGATATGTTGTATTTGTTCTTTGAATTAGATTATAGATTTGCTGAAAGGCACGCTCGTGTCACGGACTCCTTTAACCGATGTCATAATCGGAGAAGCTCAAAGTAACTCCCGAGTTTTCATACCAAAGACAGAGGAAGCAACTGTTTCCAACTCTGAGAAGATTATGATATTGAAAGTCATGATACAAAAATCTACACAAAAGTTATTGTTTGCGCAAGCAGAGGATGATTTTGCCGATTTTCTCTTTAGTTTGCTCACGATCCCACTCGGTGGAGCTTTGTCACTTCTGGGGACCAACACTGGTGTTACAAGTTTAGACAATTTGTACACGAGTGTAGAAAAAATTAACGGTGACAAGTACTTGACTAAAGACTGGACCAAGTTTCGGAAAACCGAACTCCCTATCGGATATATATCCCCAAACCAACTTCTCCCTATGACCGAAACAGGAATTTCTGAACTTCATTTTGTTGGAGCCTCTGCACTTCCTGGGCATATTGATTATCTGTCTCCTTCAACAGTGACATATAGAACGTCTTATTCTTTGAAATGTCCGACATATAAAACGTCCAATTTGATTCATCTCAAGTCTCCAAAAGGCAATGGGAATTACGTGAAGGGGCCAACAATCTATATGGTGACCGATGATTTAACCGTCACTCCATTGTGTTTGACCTCAAGCCTTTCTATTTTGGACCAGCTGGGAATCCCGTTGTCTGATGTGGAAGAATTGGAGATTAACATTGGATTGGAAGAGGTAACTATTTGGATCATTTGATTTGTTTTCATGATGAGAGTATATATTTTTTTTTTTTTTTAAAAGTTACTGAATGTTGTTCTGATCTCTACTCTGTAGGCTCTGAGCATTTTGAAGGCATCTCTAGCCTCGACTTCGGCGCTGACCAATGGCCTTTTCGGACCATCATTAAGAAAGTATGTGAAACAAGAACACTGAGTCCAATGTATGGAGGTTCCTGCATTAGTGTTTGTTGTTCCTAATCAGTACTACACTTCTAGTTATCTATGTTTTTTCCTCATAATTAAGTGAAAATGTGTCCAGTTTGGTTTTGGTTGGTTTATGAAATTATGGCAAAATTTGATTTTCGGTTCACATGCTTTTGAAATCGTCACTCCAAAGGTTGGGCTAAAGATCAATGTATGTATGATTAGATGCATGAAATGAAACAGCCCAACAGCCATAGCTTGGAATTAATAATCATAAAATAACTTCATTTGTTCACATAACTGATCTCATTTTTGACATCATCTTCAGGTCATATGAAGTCATTCTCAATCATCATCATTATAATCAACATCTTGAGTTGTAGACATCACTTTTGATTCAGTTTTGTGCTGAATATTAGGCTCAACTGACCTTGTAAGTGCACACATAATAATACAGTATAATATTAGAGCTCTGAGAAGAGAAGCTGCCATCTAAATACAGATCTGATATTTGAAAATGGCTGCAGCAAAGAAACTTTTTACAATCTGCATTCTACATTGAATCAGCTTCAAAATTCATCATTTTATTCTATGTGTTCGTCATTTCTGATTCAAGCCACTAGCATTATCAACACAATCAAATGGAATAGTAGCATAAGCGTGAGGTTAAAGACGATAGAGTTCTCTCTCATCTGAGACATCTCTTATTCTCTTGTTATAAAAGAGGGTAGGTAATATTATGTGACAGATATATACAAAAGCTTGCATGTAAAATTACAAATAACTCACAATTATCTGAAGAACGTGCAGATGAGCGTTACACAAGTAAACAACGAATAAATTAACAATCACATATATAGATTTAATAATCAAATCATGTTCGAGATGCCGCATTGCCTTTGAAACCTACATTGCATTTAAAGATCAACACAAAATCAACGAGAAATAAAAGGAATTTCCTTTAAGCCTAAAATTCTACCTAAACAGAAGCAATAATTATATTTTTTCACATAAATTAAAAATAAAAGAAAACAGAGTTTGAAAAAAAAAGAAAAAATTGAGTTAATTAACTGAGCTCCTTCAAGCTACACATCCTGCACCAAGCCCACTCCTTGGACTCGACTGCTAAAGATGTTCGATGGGCAGGGCAACCGATACAATTACATTTACACCCCCTTAGCGTAGTAAGGGTAAACGTCAATGGTGTAAAAACCACTAATGCCAATATTCTCCAAGTCGGTCGTCACACGATTGTAAAGCAACAGTTCACCATAGGAGTTGAGAAGAAGCAGTTTATCATTCTTGAAGAGGCCCATAACCTTTGTAACAGCAGCATCAGTAGGGAGAAAGGATGTGGACTGAAGAGACCATGTTCGCTCATCCCATACCCAAAGCTCGATACCAAAAGGATTTTCCATCTCAGCAGCGAATCCAACTTTCATGGCATCAAAGCAGAAATCATAAACAACGGCAGCAAGCGAGCCATGGAACTCAGCAAGAAGAACACCGTAGGAGTCAGATTTCTTGCCTGTTGGAGGCATGGGAATAACAGCCGTGGGAAACTCATCCTTAACACAATCAAATGGAATAATAGCGTAAGCGTGTTGAAGTTCAAATAATACGAGCCAATAAAAGAAGCCATTTATGTGAACAGCAGCGTCTGAGATGCTGCGTTCTATATGGGGATGATGAGGAAACACGATTTGCTTCCACAGTCCAGTATTGACAGACAAGACTCTGGCCTGCACCTCAGCCTGCCCATAACCTAGACAGACGGGACTCTCGTTATCATCACTAGTGTTAGTTCTGATAGCCGTGACCACCTTATAGTCCCCAAGTGCAGAGTCGAATCCTATACCCATAAGCATGTGATTGGAGCACCGTGTTTCGACGTCCACGTCATCATCATAGTATAACCCAGATGCAGGGTCGATGAGGGTTTTGCATTCGTCGGTGGAAGGATCCCACAGAAGGAGTGTGTCTACATCATCATCATCATCATCATCTAGTGATAGTGATGGCCCAAACAATATCCATGGGTTGCACCACGCCAAAACTTCACGCCTTTCATATTCATAGGTGAGTCGGGAGAAGTTGGGAAGAGTATTATTATTATTATTATTATTATTATTATTGGCTGATGATTGAAGTAGTGTGATGGAGTTGTTTTGCATAGAGAGAAGAGAGCATTCATCATCTGCGACCACCATAATCATGAGATGCTCATTGTTGTTATGCATCAAATCGGGACCAAGCTTTGCGGGGATATGAGACCGTTTAATCATGAGATGCTCATTGTTGATGTTGTTGTTGTTGTTATGCATCAAATTGAAACCAAGCTTTGCAGGAAAATGAGACCGTTTAAGAGGAGGAAGATGATGAGAGCGGGCAGAAGGAGGAGGAAGACGGCAAGTCCAACTCATCATGGCAGGAGATAGTAGTGCCATCTCGAGGAAGGATGAACGATGATTGAAAAACCTAAGGGGGTGTTGGATATAAAAATATTGATTAATATAAAAATAGTTTTGAATATAAATATTTTTCATTTTATTGGTACATAATAATTTAATGATTTATATGTTTATCTTTGATTTATACCTTATTCATACGTTATTACAATATTTAAATTCTAAAATAAGTTATGGCAAAATAAAAAAAATTGTAGTAAATATTATGACCAACAACTAATTGAAAAATACTGTAATATATATTATTTTAATGTTTAAAAATTTAATAATTTTTAATTACATCAATTTTTTTTTTATAATTTATAATGATGTATATTATAAGTATTTTAATTTTTTTTTCTAATTTAATAAGTTATATGATAGTTCTACACTGACTGATTTATCATTATAATTAAGAAAAACATATATTATACACTTGTTGGTTTATCATTATAACTTATAACAATATACATTATATTTTTTTTAAGTTAATAATGGAACGTGTGTAACTTAAAATAGCTCCTAGGCTTTACTTTCTTCCCTTGTACCCAAAAAAAAAAAATTGCAATTAAATTTAGAGATTCCTAATCAATGTTAACTAAATAATTCTGTCATTTGTTGTTTTCAAGTCATCATGAGATCAAATGGCTGCTCCAAGATTCTCGTGCGCTTACGCTGTTAGTTAATCCATTTTTTCAGTCGAGCACGATCATCCTGAAGCTGAAAAATATGTCAGTCGATAATGGTAGTGGCTTGAATCAGAAATGACGAACACAGAGAATAAGATGATGAATATTGAAGCTGATTAAATGTAGAATGCTGATTGTAAAAGTTTCTTTAATTTACTGCAACCATTTTCAAATGTCAGATTTTGATGGTAGCTTCTTCTCTCTGATCTCTAATATTAGTATGGTGGGGAGAGTTTTATTCTAGCTACAATAATTTTTTTTTTTTTTCTTTGTTGGTAGTATCTTTTGTGTGTATTATGTTGGTTAGTAGTTTTATTCTCCTAAAGTAGGAGCATCTATTGTGGGAGTTTGGTAGTGTTGTAGTTGTGGCTTGTAGGTAAGTTGTTTCGTTTTTAGGCTACTTGTTGGAAATTTGGTCCAACCCAATTACCTATCTCAGGCCCGTGGACGTCTCGGCCCACTCCCGACTTGGGCCTGGCCCTTACCCGGTTTAATTGGAACAGTTGGATTTGGAATTTGATCCCAACCCTCTACCATACTTTAAGGGTGAGTTTGGTTACTTTAAGTGATTGAGTTTGATTAATTCTCATAAAATATATTAAGTGATATCCTTTTGATAAAAAAAGTCTATTAACTTGTTTGGTTAATAATTCATAAAGGGTTTATTGCACCAAATCCCCCTATATTATATGAAATCTGCGCATTTTACCCTGCTATTTCAAAAATTGCGTCAAACCCCCTTGTATTTAATGTTTACATGCAGACTCGTCCTTCCCCCTATATTATATGAAATCTGCGCGTTTTACCCTGCTATTTCAAAAATTGCGTCAAACCCCCTTGTATTTAATGTTTACATGCAGACTCGCCCTTTTATGTTAACACCGTTACTTTAATACTAACGGCGTTACTCTTTTGTTTAATTTACCATTATACCCTTACTTTATCAATGAATTTACGATTATACCCTGCTATATGTAAACTTAAAATTAAAACCTCAAAATTGGGGATTGAACCTTGTACCTTTGGGTTGTAAAAAGCATCTCCCACCAACTGAACTACTTAACATGTAGTTATAAATGTAATTCTATTTATATATATCTTAACGTATAGAAAATATATAATAACAATTAATTATTAATAATGTATTAATTAAATATGTAGATCTAAGTTATTAATAATATATTGATTAAGTATATATATATATATATATATATATATATATATATATATATATATATATATATATATATATATATATATATATATATATATATATATATATATATATATATATATATATATATATATATATATATATATATATATATATATATATATATATATATATATATATATATATATATATATATATATATATATATATATATATATATATATATATATATATATATATATATATATATATATATATATATATATATATATATATATATATATATATATATATATATATATATATATATATATATATATATATATATATATATATATATATATATATATATATATATATATATATATATATATATATATATATATATATATATATATATATATATATATATATATATATATATATATATA